TCTCCTCACCTCCTACTGTTGGTCAACACCCGGTTACTACTCATTGACAGGACTACGCACTATTTCCCTCTGTGCATTTTGTTATTTCTCCTCATCACTGTATATAATAAATCACTGCTTGCATCGAAGTCGGCTACCTGGGTCCGCCTCTTTCTCGTTCGCTCACTGACAGGTGCGAACGGCACATAACAGGGCCGACAAATGCGAGGAACAAGAAGAGACATCAAAGCTCATATGTAAAAATGGCTTATGTCCATAACGAATTAGTGGAATGGAAAAAATAACAATGTATGGAAACACATTGATGTGACAAATATTAAACGTTTTTTGAGGACTTGCTGACCATAGTATTTTTAGGACTCTTTGAACATATTCATATGTTTATGGAGACTTGTTGACCATATTAATGGCATTATGGGGACATATTGACCATATGTGCAGATCAGTGTTTAATTTACACAGGCCCATAAAGAGACAGAGAATAAAAAGGGATAGCCCAGTGACAATGAGTATAGTAAAACCTGATAAAAGTGGATCTAATGAGAAAGAGAATAGAACACAGATTACTATTCGACTGGACTACAGTGAAGTTAAGCGAGGTGGACTCAACTGGATCTATCTGGACTAAAACCGACCTTGACTGAACTGAGCTTAAAAAATGTCCTGTTAGCGTAATTGTTCTACCTATCAAATTCCATATAATAGCAAATTTAATCCCACTAGTGTTAATGTATCATTCTGATTTTGACAAGATTTTACCTTTTTTTCAAAGCACTGACATTACTGAGTGTAATCTAATTACATCTACTCACCATGATCCCTCCTCCTATCAGGCCTCCCATGTATTTAACCTCCGGAGTGAGCTGTTCCTGTCCTTCCTCATCTGCGGATGCATACTTTACATCGAAGTTGGGGAAAAAGAGCAGGATGTTGCTGATGACTGACACTGTAGCCAGGATGTACAGAAAAATAGCAATAACCTTTGAACACTCTCCTGTACACATGATGTCTGCAGATGGAAGTTCAAATAGCTAAAAACGTTTAATATCCCAGCTAAAATACGTAGATTCTCCGTATAGATGGATACTATTAATCAAAGCTTTACATCTGGCACACTTGAAAAAAATGCAAAAAAATAAAAGTGACAGCTTTCACACATCAGGTGCAACTTCATGTGTCAGATGTCAGAGAATGGGAGAACTGTTGAAATATATGAGGCTTTGAAGGGGGAAAGGTGGAGCTAGAGGAGATAAGGAAGTAACTTTTATGAGCCTGACTTTATGGCATGAGCTTGTACCTGTATGTGTGTGTATATGTCTCCATGGAATGCTACACCAGTTTGTGGTCTACAGTTATTTTTTCATGAGCTCACAGCATAGCTCTTCTTATCAAACACCAGTTTCCTGTTTTCATTATTAGAAAATTGAGTCATTTCCCTTATTAGCCCAAAATGCTATTTAGTTGTGATTCAGTTTTGGGATTGTTGGGTCAATAATATTACATTATTATATGGAAATGTACTATATCAGGGCATACATCTTGAGATGTTCTCTCTGGCTTTCAAGAGGGTCCCAAAACAAACTCTCACAAGGTGTGTTGTGACTGAATGTAAAGCAACTTGTAAAGACAGTGCAATAACACATAGGTGAAGTAAAGATCTGGGCACACACACATAAAAATGATCTAGGTGGTGCAAATTGAAGTGAAGATAAATCTGTGTAAATGTAAACTTTTTCAATTTAAATAATAAAAACTATACAAATCCCAAGACTTCAGAGCAACACAGGAGGGATCCTTTTTCCACAACTGACAGACTTAATAGATGTTGTGTATACAGAATAGGTCAACATAACAGATGATTAATAAGAATGACAAAACTTGTATACTGTAAAATATATAAAGAATACTGTATAAACACATATGAAGAGCATCATATAAACATATACAGTATACTGTATAAAATGCATGAGGAACATGATCCTGCTTCCAGATTACTCCAATAGAACTAAACCACACAAAGACTTGGTAGGAGGACAGACCACACATCCACATGGGAGGCAAAACCAAAACACATGATTCACACATACTGGGGAAATAAACAAACACAGAGAGAAAGTAAGTACAAAAGGAATGAATAAATGAACAGCAAACAAACAAAATGAGGGGGTGATGACCTAATGGCTGAGGCTTCTGAAGAATGAGGATCCAGATCCGGACATTTGAACAGGCACCATATGCCCAAGGGAACAAACAGAGTTAGAGAGACACAGAGATTCTTCAAAAGGTTTACAGTAATCATCTCAACAAGACAACATAGACTATACCATAGGTGTTGTTAGACCCCTTTTACTAGGACACATGCCTCAGTATTGATCTGCTGTGCCCCAGTAAAATCACACATTTAAGTTTTAAAAAGCTCCTGTATTTGGCAGTGGATTAATTTAGACTGATTATAACAGGAAAAGAATTGATTTGTTTTGTATTGGCACGCGAAACAAAAGCAAGGAATGGACTGAGGTATGTGATAGAGACTAAATAAAGTTTTTGAATAATACCAATGATCTTATTTGACTCAAACATTATTGACTGGACGTAAGAAAATTCTTTAGAGGAAGCTGAGGTAGGGAAGTTCAGAGAGATGAGGGTGAGAGAGGGAAGACCATTAGTTGGTAAACAGGGCAATGTTTGTTTAGTTAAATAACCAGGTGCAGATGTTAAATGTGAAGTAAATTAGAGCTCTGTACATCAATGCATATGCTCAGTTGGACCACTTCTAAAACACTATTAATTGGTGTACTACATGAAAACAAAACAATGCCAACTATGTTGCATAATACATGACCATAGCAGGTTTATGTTAAGGTTGGCCTATTTGTTCAGCATTTAATGTATAGCCTATAACATAATATTCAAAGCTCTTGTCACACAGTCCAAATATTCTTTGTTTTATACATTTTAGTAAAGTAGTGAGCCTGAGGTAGGGTGGGAAAGTGCAGAGGACACTATGTAGAGAGCTCTATAGAGACAGGTGTGTGACCACCAGCCATTCACTGCACAATACAATTTCAAAGTAATTGGAGTATCGATGTGTTATGAATTTAAAAAGAATCATTGTGGTTTTTAAAATTCTCTATTTGTTGATAGATTAATTTGTTGTTAAAGTTTAAATTTGACAAGTCAAGCTGGGGCTGCTTGACAATAAATGAAGTTGTTATTGTGAAATGCGAATACATGTGCAATACAGGGCCAGACTTTTGCCCCATAAAAACATGTTGAGAATGTTCTTAAAGTATGTTGAAATAAATATTTTTATAAGCATTAATATCTCTACATTTTTACCTTTACTATTGGGCTAAGCATAGGAATTTCATAGCACATTTCATTCATGTAGCAGACATTCAAGAAAAAAAAAAAAAGTGTGATTTGAGTAATGGGGGGCCCGTGCCCCCATAGAACCTTATGTTTAGCCACACCCCTGGTGGTGCTACCACACCAGATAGCCAGTACTAGTATGATTGTTAGATAATTGTCCATTTCCTGATGACAAGTGGGAAAAGCAGAACATGGGAACATCCCTGAATAGTGCGCTTGGAGTCCCCTGGCTGGCTGGAACTCTGTTGTTATAGTAACAGGTTCCTGTTTGGTTCTTTTAGGAGTGCACTATGAAAGGTTCATGCCCCATCTCTGGGTGCATCTTTATGTGAGAGAATCTTTGGAGTTCATTTTATGAATTAATAATTTGGTTTTAAGATAATTTTATGCAGTTCATAACTTCTTACTTTCTTGAAATACACATTTTATATGCTTAGTGTGGGAGCATCACAGTTCAGACTCAGTCTAAGAACACATTGTTTGAAACACAAGAGAATGTTATCTTCTGTGGGGAGAAAGGCAGATTAACTTAATTAAAAGAAGTGATAATAGTAAGGTCTAGACCTTATTTTTTAAAGTGTCCTGAGATGACCTTTGCTGTGATTTGGTGCCATACAAATAAATTTTGAATTTGAATTCCAATGGTTTTATGTGGCATTTCCCTCAATCTGAGACAAATGTCTCCTTGTGGAGAAAATCAAAGTAACCTTGAACCTTGAGCTCTTAGCATCATCAAATCACAGTGAGTCATACTTTCCATTATTGTGTGGTCTTATCGTGCTGCAGTGAACTTTAACCAAAACTTAAAATAACATACAGGTAGTTCTCCTTGATAATACTGGTCCTGTATAGCAAGATTAAATGAACCATCATATTTCATTATCACATAATATATTTAAAACAATGAACAATCTCTAAATTGTCTTCATTACATGTAAATGTAAGATGGCTTTTCTATGACCCCAAATAATAATTTAATAAACAAAACATTAATAACCAAAACTAATAGGAGTGATAGACTTTCCCCCTGCCTAACTCCTACTAAACAAAAACTCAAATCTGCTACTGTTGACAAAAACACATGATTTTATATTCTTTTACATATTCCTAATTACTTCCAAAATTTTACCTTTATTGCCAACTTTCAGTCATTTATATCATTATGCATCTCTCAATATCTGTGATGTTTACCACAAAACACCTGATAAAATCCTACAAAATAAAGTTCCCCATGCAATCATAAATATTACTGTGAACATGGACCAATATTTTACTAGAAATATTGGATTTATTATTACAATAAATGCATCATCTATTAGTAGCTCTACAAAGTGTCCTCTTGCTTGCTGAGAGCTCTTGCCTCAACAAAACCTTCTGTTTTGGTCTAATAAATATCACATCACTGACTACAAACTACTTACTGATGAATGATTTGATTCTCCAGTCTATTCTGGATATGGTTGTTTTGTGTGAAACTTGGCTCAAGCCAGATATACTCCTGGCTCTTTTCACTGCAGGACTGGCTCTGACTGACCAATGACTTAAACACAGATTTGTCTAGTCTTCTGGACTCATCTGCACCTCTCACAACCAAAATAGACAGTCAAACAAGTTTCCTGAAGAATTATAGGCACTCAAGCAGCCCCATAGGAGACTTAAATAGGGAAAATCAAAACTTGAAGTGTTCTGCCTCCTTTGGCATGAGTGTGTAATGAAATATAGATGTGCTCTGCCTGCTGCTAGAGCTGCATATTTCTATTGTTTAATCAGTTACAATAAACACAAGCCTATATTTCTTTTTGACACTGTAGCCAAACTTCCACAGAAGCAGACATCTCTTAGTTGCTCACCCCATCGGTCTCATGATTGTTTTTTAGACTTTTTCTGCAGTAAAATAGATTTGGTTAGATGCAAAATTATTTTATTAGCTCTGCTTTTTTCTACGAAACTAGATGAACATTATTCTGAATCCCAGATAGTCTCGATTTAAAAAAAATTGGACACTATGCCTCTTAAATCATTGTCAAAGCTGGTGTCTGCATCTAAATCTAGTACTTGCCTCCTTGATCCTCTACAAACTAAAGTTTTGAAAGTTCTATAGTCGGTTTTGGGACTTACAATGTTAAATATTGTTAATTTATCACTTAAAACTGGTGCTGTCCCCATTTGCTTTAAATCTACTGTACAATTCTCTCTAATGTTACAAAAACAAGGCATTAACAGACATGTAATGTGTTTTTGTTTTTACTTACCATTAAGTCCCATTGAGTAGTGGAAACATCACTCCCTTTCAAGTAGCTCCAAGGTTGGTAAATCCAACTGGTGGTCACAGTGTCTTCCCCAACACAACCAGTAACTAAGTAGTGAAGTTAATTCCAACAGGTAGCGTAGCACCGACAATAACATCATGGGTCATTAATCCAGCATCACATCACATGCAGCAGACACACTGGCCTCAAGCAGTCAAAACAAACAGGTACTGTGCCCCGGGGGAATCCAGCATTGAGGAGCTGATCATTGTCCACCCCAAGGGGCTTCACTGGCCAGCTGCTTGTAGGTTAGACCTGGTCAGGTAAAACAGCGAGTCCCTGTACAGGAACATTCTCGTACATGCAGTAACCTCAGGCCCTGT